TTGACTGGACTGGGACTGACTGGACCAGTACCGCTGACTGCATGGGCTTGCGCTGCCAACTCGATGCAGTCGCACTGCCGACGTAATGCAGCTGGGCTGACCACTTGCCCACTTGCCTCTGACTAAAACGTGAGGCAGCTTCGAAAGGCCACTTCCGGACCTTCCGGAAGTCTGTGGACTTGGCCTTTCGATTACTGTAGCAGCTATGACCTTGACCTTTCAGGACTGTAGCAGCTACGACCTTGACCTTTCAGGATACCTACAGCTACAACCTCTACAGGGCTGTGACTCCTACTTGGCAGATCTACAGATTGAACCCCTACCACTGCACAGGCCTACGATAGACAACAACAACTGTCAAAACACAGGTCACGGGTTCAAACACTCGGGGTCGACGCAGATACTGTACACAGGTAAGGTGAGAACTAGGGATTGAACCCTGGGATCGCATTCGCTACTGCTAACAGGTGAAAACTGTTTCACTCCCGCCAACCTAAATTCGAGGTCCTCCGAGAATAACTCAGTCCAAGGCAGGACCTTTACCTTTCTTGTCTCTCTCGTAGGCTCTAACTACGTCGGGAGGTGTTTCTAGAAGTTCGGTTCTAGTAAACCAGCGGTCGTCTTCTGGCTCTTGATAAGCAAATCGAACCTTATACTGCTTCTGCGGACGACCTCTACCTCCTGTTCTGAACACGTCTTCACCTACAACGCCATCAATGTTGTATCTTTCGTCCATGTCTGGAGGAATCATGGATCTCCTAGATGGAAACTGTTGACTTGTGACACAGGACAACAACTTTGAGGCATGAAACACAAGGTAGGTGTGGAGGTGTGCTGGGATCTCTACTGTGTAGGACGGCCCATCCTCTCCACCCTTAGAACTGGCCACGGTCCTCTATATGCGAGCAGTAACTTCTGCGAGATGTTTTCCTCAGGAGCAAACTCTTTAGACTTGACCCAGACCAGGTCACCTACTTGAAACTGTGATGGGCAACGGTGCTTATTAGCTTGTTCTATCATTCGGTGTTGGGCCTTCATGAGGTTCTCTACCATGGTAGCTAACTCTTTCTCGTGCTGTAACGCAAACTCCCTAGTACCGGGCGGTAGCCTGTGAATCTGGTCCCGGTTAAGTCCCTCAAACGGTCTGCGTGGTGTAAAGGACTTGTGCAACTCATCGGGAGTGCGACAGGTGGACAAGCGCACGCTATTGTTATAGGCACTGGCTACCTTGGGCAACATCTCGTCCCAATTGACTTGATCTGGTCTAATGTACATTCGCAGAACTTGCTGCTGGATCTTGTTCATTTGTTCAGTGTGCCCGTTAGTCTCTGGATGACGGCCAGATGACATCAACAACTTGAAGCCATAGACTCTCATCAACTCCTGCCAGTTCTGACTCGTGAACCGGGTGTCTCTATCACTAACTATAGACAGTGGAATCCCGTGTTCACTGACCCAATGATCAAAGAACTTCTGAACAACTAACTTTGTGCGTGCCTCTGAGGGCAAAGGAACAAAAACAACATACTGAATCTGTCAACTATTACCATGACTTGGCTCTTGCCGTGCGTACTCTTGACATGGGTGTCCATAAAGTCAATGGACACTGAATCTCCTGGCTGATCAGGAAGAGGCAAGGGTCTGAGAAGACCTAGATGGGCACGAGTAGAAGTCTTATTTCTCTGGCAGACCTTACAACTGCGAACATACTCTATGCAATTGGCCTTCATCCCAGGCCATATATACGCGCGCATGAGGTTAGCTAGAGTCTTTTGCCAACCAAAATGTCCCTCAGTATCGTGGCATTCCCCTAGGATCAAACTACAGATCTCCTCACTGTTAGGAATGCACAAGCGGTCAACTACGTTAGTCATCTCGAATAGTAGCCCATCAGTAGTGCGGTAGTCTGGTTCCGACTCTGGGGCCTCCTTTACTCTCTTGAGGAGGTCACTATAGATAGGGTCCTGCGCATACGCCTCTCTAACTTTCTGCTGCAGGTCTCTCCCTATATCCAGATGATGAACTATCGCTCCAAAGTAGTCAAGTCTCCTACTCAGAGCGTCCGCAACTACATTATACTTCCCTTTGATTGGCTTAAGCTCAAAGTCATACTGGTCTAACTCTGCAGCCCACCTAGTAAGCTTAGGTGTCATCTTGGCCTGCGTCTTTAGCCACCTTAATGTCTCGTGGTCTGAGTAGACTTTGAAGTGCCTCCCAAGCAAGTAGTGCTTCCAGTGTTCCAATGCTTGCCTGAGAGCGTAGAGTTCCCTCTTGTAGGTAGATGTCGCTACCTTCTCTGAAGGCATCTTAGCAGACAAAAAATCTACGGGTATCCATTGCCATCGTCTTGTTGTAATACAGCACCTATACCATACTGGCTCACGTCAGTGATGACGACGAAAGGTAAAGACGGATCGACTACCTTAAGGACTGGGTACTCTATCAACACCTGCTTCAACTTCTTCATGGTAGACATGCAGTCCTTATCCCACTTCCAGATTGTTTCTTTCTTCAGCAACCTAAGAAGGGGAGCAGCGATGGTGGAGAAGTTCCTCACAAACTTCCTGTAATAATTAGCTAGGCCTAAGAACGACCGCACCTTTGTCAACGTGCGGGGTGTAGGTCAATCTCTAATCGCTGCAATCTTACTATTTTCTGGTTTGATGCCGTCTCCGTCTAAGACATGGCCTAAGTACAGAACTTGGGTCTTTGCCCATTTGCACTTCTTCGCGTTGATCTTGAAATTAGCCTCTATGAGCTTTTCCAAGACCTGCCTTAGATGACCCTCATGCTCCTGGAGGGTCCTACTGAATACTAGAATATCGTCTAAGTAGACTACTACAAACCTATCTAACCACGGCCTAAATAAGTCATTCATACAACGCTGAAAAGTTGCTGGCGCGTTGGTTAGTCCAAAGGGCATAACTATAAACTCGTAGTGCCCATATCTAGTCCCGAACGCGGTCTTATACTGATCATCAGGATGAACCTTTATCTGATGATATCCGGACTTCAAGTCTATCTTTGAAAAGTACTGGCAGCCCTGCACCCGATCTAAAAGATCATCTATACGGAGCAACGGCTCCGCGTTCTTCACGGTGCTAGCATTAAGACCCCTATAGTCAATGCACATTCTAAGCTCTCCCTCCTTTGGGACAAATAAAACAGGTGCTCCAAATGGAGACGAACTGGGCCTAATCCAACCCTTCTCCAGGAGTTCGTCTAACTGCTTGCGCAACTCCTCCAATTCCCACGGGGACATCCTATACACTGCTCCTTTAGGAGTTCTACTGCCAGGCTCAATCTCAATGCGATGTTGGATGGGCCGTGGGACTACTCCCGTAGGCGGCTTAGCTAAATCTACATACTCTTGGCAATAGCGGGACCTATGGGCTTTTCCTCATTAGGCTCAGTAACTGGCCTGATATAAGCTACAAAGACATGTTCTTCTAGCTGCTCCTTCACTAATCTTGCAAACACAGGAGCGCTAAGGCAGCAATGTGCCTGGGAGTTATCTACTCCTGACACGTGGAACAAACGGGCAGTCTTGACCCCGCCTGACGAACTAGGGAGCCTACACTCGTGCTCTCTCAAATGGAGTGTGGCCCAGACTGCCTCTCCCCATTCCATTCCTAGGACTATATTGAAGGGAAGTTGTCCTCTACGAGGAGAGTCAGGGAATGGAGAACTTTCTCCACCTTCCCATCTTTCTCTAGGCGAAAGTACGTTTGGACTCCCTCTACATAATCCTCTACTCGCATCGTGCGATTGTCTGCGAGGATACTCACTATGGGGTCTGCTAACTTCTGGACTTTTAGCCCCAACTTCAACTTCGGCAGCGCCTTTCTACTGATATAGCTGCGCGTGGCCCCACTATCTACTAGGGCCCCTACTCTACCTCTGAAAATTTCTACGTCTACTAAAACTAGTTGTCCCCTACTCTCCTTCTTCATCTTGGCCCAGGTGGGCATTCTCTCCTTCACGCCTGTGAGGGAGGTGCCTAAAAAGACTCTGACACAAGCAGTCTCTGGACAGCTACCTAGGCACCGGCCTGCAACCTCTGCCATAGGCACATGTGTAGGATTGTCCTGCCGGCTGGCGCTCATTGCCCACATGGCCTTATGGTAGGGGCAGTTGCAACCCCTACCGACGGCTGCCTTTTGACCCCTGGGCAGCCCATCGGGCCTCTCTATACTTTGGACAATATTTGATGATGTGGCCAGGGTCACCGCAATATATGCACTGCCCTTGGTCCACACGTTGTTGCCAGACGTGCTGGTCCAGGCCCAAATCTTCCCAAGGTCGGCCCTGTGGCAGACCTGGGTGCCAACCGCCCCTCCAAGAGGGTGCCCTGTTTCCCCTATTCGGTGACCTATTCCCTCTATTAGGCGACCCATTCCCCGAACGTTTTTGCGGGGGACCTTGACCCCTTCCTCCCACTTGGCGGTTTCCTCCTCTACCGCCAACCCCCTGATCGCTCTGGGAACGGCCCCCTGAGCCCCGGCCCCCTTGGCCCTGGCCTCTACCTCCTCCTTGCGGCCTCCCTCCAGCCGCGAGAGCAGCGTAGGTCCTCCCCTGACTAACGCTACTGTCCTCTTCCTCAAGCCCCCACTCAATCTGCTCGTATGGGACTTCGTCCACACCACCCTCATCTAAGATAAGGATCAAGTGATCCTTGGTCTTGACCTGTCCTGAGATGGTGCGACCTTTCCACTTTTTGCCCTTGTCCAGGTCCTTATGCCAAAAAGTGGAAATTGACATGGACCACGCTTCAAAGGCCACCACTTCCCTGCTCAAAGCGTCATAGGTCATGGTAGGCTGCCGACTCTTCTCAAAGAAATGTCCGCGCCGCTGTTCGGGCATTGCACGATAGAAGAGGTTGACCAATTGGGTCTCAGTGACCCCATGGTCCGGGACAGCGACTAGCTCATCCATCACACCCTTGAGTGCTGTAGCGCTCTTCCACTGACGAGAGTGGATGGTTTGCAGTCTATCGGAGGCTTTGACATTGCGTGAGACATCTGCAAATCGTTCGCGCAATAACTTAAAGAAGTCAGTGATGGGAGTGAATGCAGAATAAGCGACTAAATCATCATTACAGTTGGCGGCGCGGCACAAGGAACGAGCGAAGCTTGCTGCTTCGTCTCGGAGGGTATGGACGACTATAAGGACATGTTCGTCCGGGGACACCTTCTGCATAATGTACGTAGGTTTTGACATTGGCTTCCCAATTGTCAAAATTCTCCTCTTTCTTCCCTCTATAGGAGTCAGGGAACTTGACCTTGACAGGCTCCCTTCGAGGACGTGCTTCCTCCTCCTTGGGAGCAGTCAGTCTGGCGCCTTCTATGACGCCCGTGTAATAACACTTCGTGCCCTCTAGGCGGGCCTTCACCTCTGAGCCCACCTGCATCGCTAATTCCCTTGCAAAGTCCCTGAGTCCCAGCAGTATAGAGCGCAAGGCAATGTCCTTACCTCTACCAAACAGATATTGTTCTTCCTAGACCTGGGCCGGACGCTCTATGTTTCTCACCATGATCTCCATCTTCCCCAATAGGTCCACCTGCGTCGCCATCTGCACTCTTTGCTTCTTACCCTCCTCCAATTCTTTCGCCACCTGGTTCGCCGCCTCTGTCCTCCTTTTCTTCTCCCTCGTCAGTTGGAACTTCCACTCCATCCTCTTCTCATCTTCTATAGTCTGCCGCTTGAGTGGGTCTTCTTCTGCATCCCACTCTCTCATGGGCGCCTCTTGTTCTTCCCAGGGCACATATAGCCTGCCGCTTGAGTGGGTCTTCTTCTGGATCCCACTCTCTCATGGCCGCCTCTTGTTCTTCCCAGGGCACATACATTAGTGCCTCCTCTTCTTCTCCCAGGGATAAACCAGCAACCCACTCCGTAATCTTCTTCTCCATCTGATCTTCCTTTGTTCCACTGGATTCTCCTCTCCCTCCTGTCCTTCGCCTTTCCAGTGGTTGTTCTTCTACCTCTTCCTCCTCTTCTACCGCCTTGAGCTTCTCTCCTTCTTCTTTCTTTATCCTCTCTTTTTCTCTGACCATCTCCTCCTCAATCTTCTTCAACTTCGCCGACTGTTCTTCTACCAAGGCCTTCTTTTTGACCTCCTTCTCTCTTCTCTCTTTCGGGATGGCGGTGGCCTTCGCATCCTGCTCTGCTGTACAAGGGGAGGTGCTCGTTCCTGTACGCGTGTCTACCATGGTGACAGACGCACAACCAAGTGACGGTTCCGCTCCTCACCACTTAGACTTCCCCCCTGACCGACTTACTTAAGACTGACTCAGTCTATGGACCACGGGATCCGTATAGAACCTTGTCAACTATGGTCTCTAGCCTGGACTCTAATACTACAGCCGTCACTACAGGATCTGTTGCTGACCAGGAGGCATTTAAGGAGATCCCCCGTAACTCCTGAGGAACTTTTTAACGGTGCAAACAGGACGACGCAGTCAGCAGATCCTCTCAAGACTTAGACGGCCCGTTGTGCAGCCCACAGCTCGGATTTTGGGCCTACCGTGCCACACCGAGCAGCCCGCCGGTCAGTACCGGTCCTTGCGAGGGTTCATATCCTCCGGGACAGTCGAGTCGTCAGACATAGTCTTTAGCCCTACTTAGCCCGTGTGGGTTTGGTCAACGAGGCCCCATCCTTCATACACGGAGTCCTATCACCTGGACATAAGAGACTCAATGCAGAAAGAAGAGACAGACAGACTCAGACTCAGCAAGTACCATAGGGTGAGTGCACATCCATAGGGCGAGGGGATAGGCTAAGGGCTTGGCGAGATTATACCAACTCCAGCTTGGTCAAAATCGTGGTCAACGGCTCCGGTCAACGCGGTCACACCCCGGTCAACGCTCCGGTCAACCCTCTGGTCAACCCCCGGTCAACCTCTAGGTCGGCTATGGCTGCCGCACCTTCTTCCTCGCCAATCTCCCTTCTCTTCCTACTCCTTCACCTTTCTTCTTTCTCGCCCTTTCTTCTTCCTTTTTTTTTTTTTTTTTT